TGTGGAAATGAGGAGAGAGAAAGGAGAATGCATTTTTCAACAGGGTTTCAAAAGAGAAAAAGCTCAAGAGCTTTGAACGTAAAGCAAATTACTAGATTTACTTATTATGAGTGTACTGATTAACAGAAAAAGCTATTAAGGAATAAATTAGCAATTTACTTCAGGCATGCCACTGCATTCCTTTACTCTTTATAAAATATTTATGCCTCTTCACCATAAAGTGAGCATAGATGGGTTATGAGTTTGCAATGTTGCATTTACTTTCACTCACTTGAAATAGGCTTTATTTCGATGGGAGAGTACAGTTCTCAGTATGGTGCCTAAAAAGGCACTGGGGCTATTGGAAGTGATCGAAATTGCACAGCAGGTGAAAACAAACCAAAACAAACCCCAGCACTTTTACCTGGAAAAAAAAAAGAAAAATCATGCTTCGGCCATGAGGAGGTGTAAAGGGGTAACACACAACTCTTCCAAGATTCAGTCCATCAGAAAAACAGATTAACAGAATGTTCAGTTCAGAAAACCAAAATATTTTTATGTTTATCATCCCTGTTCCTGTTTCTTCTTGACTTTTCTCTCTCAGACCACTCTGGACTGTCAGTTCTCATTGATAACCACTGCTGGCACGTTCCCCCATCAGATGATGAGCATAGCTCCACTGCTCCTTATCTTTCCTTACAAACCTTCTCTGTCTATCACGGTTACACAAAACCACTATCCTTACTGTCACTCAGTTACTAGCCTGTTCTGCTCCCTGTGCCTAATCCTATAGGCAATACCCAAACGCTGCTACATTTTCTTTAAAATTTTTGGAAACTTCCTTTCCTTTCCACATAGCAATGTCTTTCCTCTTGTCCTCCATCGATCAATGCAGGCTGCTTTTCTTTTATGCCTGACACTCACATCAGCTTTTCTCTACCTCACTATTACTGCAGCTGCTGCAAAGATCAAATTAATTAATCTTTCTTCTCCCTGTCATTTTCCACTCCAAATCTTTCCATTGCAGCCATTTCAAGTTGTTCCTCTTTATCTAAAAGGCCTCTCACAAGTCTCTTGCTCTTTTTCAGACCTGTTCATGTTTCATCCCCCATTGTGCCTTCCAATATTCTGCTCTAGAAATGTCTTCTGCCTTTGTCCATCCCTTCACTTGTCCTTAACTATGGGGGACTGGTATTTTCTGTGTTTTTTTTTTTTTTTTCACAGCTGTCTTGTCTTTGTGATAGTTTCCATTTGTATGCATAATGCCTCTGAACTTTCAGTCTCAGTTATATGCTGCCCTTTTATCCTTAGCCAAATAATTAAGGACAGATAAAGGAGCAGTCAGCACAGATGAAGAGCATGTATTTTATTAAAAATGCTCAATTTAAGTATAAGATAGTTAATATAATATATATTAAACATATAAATAAAGGACATAAATGAATAAATATAGTTATGATAGACAAATAATGCATCCTAGTGTTGCCACCGAATTTGCATTTCATATGTTATTAATAATCTTTAATGGTAACTGTTCTGGGAAAGCACTGATAAGGGCTGCATATACAGTGTAGCCTGGGAACAATAACTATACATGTATAACTGTTACTGTTGTTCTAAGTCAAGGTCTCTAGGCAGATTCTCTTTTGCTGCAGAGTTAATGTGAGAGGTTGATGTGCCCCAATAAGTTTCTCACTGCTAATAATTTGATCACACATTATTTTCCTTTGTGAAAAAACAGCCTTAAACTCTTGACACAGCACTTCAACTCAGGGAGGAAAAAACCAGAATAACTTATCTGCAGGTGAAATAAAATCTTGAAAAGACATTTTTATGAAAAGCATATTTCACTAAAAAGTAATATATGACCAATGTAATGGTTATTCTTGATATAAGAAGACAGACTAAGGACTACTCCATGACAATGGTATCAGTGTTGCAGGCTTTTTGTTCTAGAGAACCATATCATGAAGTGTAAGTGGAGCTTTATTGCAAGCCATTCTTGGTGTAATATTGCCTTATACCACGCATTTCTCTGTATGATTTAATGAGAAAATGTAGATTAACTTTTTTGCACCCAGTGAAAACTTCAGGTTTTGACACTTCCATCAGTAGGTCTATGTAGTTTAACCTGTGATTGTGAGAACTTCTACCTTTTTTATTGTAGGAGCATATTTTTAAAAAAAAACAAAGATACTATAGAACACAAAATGTTATGTACTCAGCCAAACCAAGGGTTTTAAAAATCTCATTAGATAAACATTATATTAAATAGAAAAGCTGTTTCCTTTCTTCTTCTATCTCATTCCTTCTGAAAGTCAAGTGGAAGGTCTACAGAAGGTCTAACCTATGTCCTCCAAAGCGAAATTTTAAATATCCGTTTATTTTTTCTCCCAGCCTCAGTTTTTCTGTGGAAGCTGGCATGGCTTTAGCTTCATTCATCTGACCATCCAAAGGAAAATATTTTATATTAAGGGTGGTATATCAGCTTGTATTTTTTCAGCAAGTCTGACAGTGTAACATCTGCAATTGGTTTCCTTGGCACGTGCAGAAAAGTCATGATCACAAAGGCCATTTCCCCAGTGTCCTTTTGAGACAGTCATGAGAAAAGATCTTGAAAGCTTTTACTGTGTGATCGAGCTTTGGGTTCTTCAAGCGACCCTAAACTTTTGCTACTGAGAATTTGGAAATCCTGATGGATTTGGAAATGCTTTGGAAGTCCTCTGTCACTGAAGCACTAAAAGATAAAGAACTATGTGAACACATAAAAGGAAGTACTTCAAGAGTGAAAGCAGAAAAAAATAACCAACAACTTTAGCTTGCATTGCATATATTGCAAATGTAAATTTTATTTTCTTAGTACATTTTTTTTTTGCTACTTGATTTTGCTTCCACTCTAATATATACTCTCATCTCCACCTTCCAACAGCAAAACAAAGTTAGTGCTTTTTCTTACAGTTTCAATCTGGCCTTCACATATGATTGAATGTAACCTAGAAGAGATTGCAGCAAGTGGTTTATTTGTGATTCTTAAATAAATGTGCAGAGCAGTAGTGGAACAAATAGGTAGCATTAGCTCTGTTCTTAAAATTGTGTACAACATAACTAATCTTTCTGTCATCTCACAAAACCAAGGCATTGTAAGTAAGTTCTTTATTATTTATTGAAAGCATGACAGCATATTTGCTGTTGTGTAAGCAAGACTTTCTGCTCATAATCTTTTGCTGAGGCCAGGTACTGACCTCACTGATACGCAGAAGGGCTGTTTGCTCACCTCTTGAGTACAGGAGCACTTTTTTTCACTGGCCATGAACAATGGAGTTTAAATGTACGTTGTGGCAAAAGCAGGAAATATTCATGTCCCAAAATGTGACCAAAATAATATGGGCGTGATGGGTTTGCACAGATATTCACATGTGAGTGCTTCCCAGCTCAATAGGATAGAGTATTTGGACAATTTCAGTAGATGCCTTCCAAGCACTAGTAAAGGTTTGAAAGCTCAAGTAAATTCTAGTACTATTTATTCACAGATTTTATTTTTTTTTAAATCTTAGTCTGTAATTAACAGCATTATTGTGAAGATTGAAGGTTTCATGTTGCCTGTGGGAATGTTGTAAGTAGTATCAAGTTGAATGCAGAACAACATGTTCTTAGGTTTACACATAGGCTTAGTGTATAGCAGATACAATGCTATACCCATTGCCTGTGACATAGAAGAGAGGAACAAAATTAAAAGGGTGCTCAGCTGCATGGTAAAAGTCTTGGACACATGGGAAGAACTATAGTCAGTGAAATAATGTGGGGTCCCACATGTTCATAGAACTTCATGGACACCAAGGTTATAAAATGCTGGCATTTGTCTTAACACAAGAAAATGCTAACAATGATTTTTTTATTGTATTTGAGTAAATATGTATTGTGTTATTAAAAAAAAATAGGGATTGGCAGACAAAAGCACAGTGCAATAACTGTGAATTTAGTAAGTCAAAGAACCATATGGAGTATAGTATTAGCTAAGTCACTCATTCAGACCCCATCAGATCCTGTCTTAGTACCTGCTATTTATTTTCTTCACATTATCTCATGTTTTGCAGCAGTCCAGCTGCTATGAGTAAGAGTATCCTCACAAGATATAGATATCTTTTCATTTTTTAATATTATAAAGTTAATGAGAAAAAGACTTTCCTATTTGCAAAAATTATTTTCTTGACAAACACAATTGGTTACTAAAACATATGCAGAATAAATCATCTCTGTTTGACTATTCACTCTGAAAGAAACTTGGATGGTGACTCCAAGCTTTACAGGTCAATGTAATCGCCAACATCTCAGTCAGATACAGGTCATTATTGTTAGAACAGTCACATGTTGGTTTTTTTTTTTTTTTTTTAATTTGCTGGGGATTTATTCATCCTTATTTTGGGGAGGATACAATTATTTTTAAAATCATTGGTGCCTTAATCTTCAGCATCTTCACCATTGCAATATTTCTCAGTCTGACAAAGTGAGAAAGACCTCAGACCTTGAGGAGTTTGGAAGAAAAAAATACGAAGAAGATAAAAGTGCCATATTCATTCACTCCGCTTTGCTACTCTTTTTGCCAGTTTGAGAAAATTTGAGTCTTACTTTAAAGCTTGTGTTAGAAGTGATGGCACAAATAGCTCTCTGTAATGTATCTATTTGTGTAATTAGATGGCTGATATTGCAGTAACTCCTGGTCATCCCATCCTATTCTGTTTGTGATTCCTGTTTTGAGTGTCTCCAGCAGTAGTCTCCAGCAAACATACACAGAATAAAATAGTTTTAGTAAAAAGTTAACCATGGTTTTGTTCTTCTTTTTTTAAATGCATCTGATTTCAGCTAGAGGAATGGGAGAGCCCGTTTCCTTCCACTTCACTCTTTCTTCTTCGGTTTTCATTTCTTTGAAAGAGTTGCTGTGACTGGCTTGTAAATAAGTGCTAATGACATTACCGTGGGCAGCACGAGGGAGACAGACTGACATGTATCTCATGTTTTTCCAGATGAGGATAGGCATTCACTCAGGATCAGTGCTGGCCGGCGTCGTTGGTGTAAGAATGCCACGTTATTGTCTCTTTGGGAACAATGTCACCCTTGCAAGCAAGTTCGAGTCAGGAAGTCACCCACGCCGCATCAATGTCAGTCCGACCACATACCAGTAAGTCCTCTTAGCCTATTCACACTGTTTTTTGAGTTTGATCTTGTAACATACTCTGTCCTCAAAACATGAACTTGAACAGAAAGTCAGCAGGACACCAGGACAACCAGAAAGAGGTGTTGCATGGGGCTGTCAGTCTTTTGGTTGCCATCAGAATGTGCAGAGAAGTCAGGCAGTGGAGGTAAGGAAGCAGAACAGGAGGGCCAACCATTCCTGCCTAAAATAATGTGTAACAGAAGTAGGAGATGTTTCCCATAGCACCATAAGTTTATCCACTATTACAGCTTTAGGCTAAGGATTTGGGTTCCACCCGCTAGACGCCATTCACGGAGAGAAGCACATTCCCAATGGCTCAGAAGAAAGTCTTTAATTTTGCCAGCAAGGCCAAGCTTTCAAAGAGTTTTTATGCTTGCTTGAAGACAAAATTTCTTGTTTAGTCCTGTAAAGAGTCACTTGATAGAAGCATTTTCTTAATGTAAGAAAAAAGATTGAAAATGGCAAAGCACTATCCTTAGCTCTTTGAAAAAATTATGCAAATAGAGGGAAGGCTTGATTAAATCTGGTTAGGAGGAACAGCTCCTAAATAAAAAAAGGTGTTCCTTATTGTTCAAATTTGACAGCTTGACTATTAGAATTTCTGCTGCTTGGATTACTACTGATGTACTCGCTTTTTTGGCAGGAGATCACAATCTTGCTCTTTTTCCAACATTCTGTATCTGAAGTAATTTTCTGAAGTACGGTTTTGCTCAGGTTTTCAGGCTATTTCTCTGTGGTAAATCTGTATGCAATTGCTCAAACAATACTGCTTTTCTTTCCTTTTTTTTTTTTTCTTATACAGAACTGTGAATCTCAATATTTATTTTTCCCCATACCTAGCTATGTAAATTAAAGTTTTAAATGGAATTTCTTCATCCAAGAATTGAGGCGTCTGATATGCTAAAATATAAATCAGTCAGAAGTTGAAGTTTAAAAGTAATTAAAACTAGTGAATAAAATGACATTCATCTGAAGAGCCCATTCACTCAAGATCAGATTTATAGGATGGAGCAAGTGTAGCTAATCAAAAAAGAGGCAGAAAAACTGAGTAGACCAGGTTCATACAGTCGTCTGGTAACATACAAGAGAAACAGACCCAGCCTACTATCGGGTATAGAAAATATTCATATCAATAAAAAGAAATTCAGTAAATACATAGGAAATTGCTGTTTGGAACTTAAAAATAAATTGTCTTTGGGACCTTTCAGGTACAATGTTCTAGTGGCTTTGATTCCTGGTCTTCCACTGTGGGATAGGAGAAACCCTCGAAGGCATTGTTTGAAAAGTGTTCACCAATTGTGTTCTGTTTTTGAAAACTTTTGCAGTAGCAGGGCCTTTGGTGTTAATTTTACACAAATGAAGGTAAATGATTTGGACTCGATGATCTTAAAGGTCTTTTCCAACCAAAGTGATTCTATGATTCTATTCTATGATTTTGGCAAAATTCAACCAAGGTCCCGTGACAGGGACCTGAACTTTTCTTGTACAGGAATAGTTCTTACAAAGGGATGTTCACCAACATGAGAAGGTCTTTGAGATATTCTGAAAGTGCAGTCCACACTTTTTCAAAAGAGGGATCTTAGTGCTTCACAAATGTGGTTCAGGGGTGTGATTCCACTCAGGGCTATGGTGTTGCTCAAGTTTGTGTCCCTGAGAGCAGAAATTGGGAGCTAGACAGTTTCATATTATTTTAAGACAAATACAGTTGGAAATACAAGTAGTGAGTATTTGTGGGGCCAAGGATGCACAAAACTCTTTTCTTGGATGCTGAAGCCAGAGTGACTTCCAGTGTACCAGTGCCAGTTCTGTGATATGGCACCTTTTTCTGTGAGACAACAGATTTGTGGTCATTGTTGACCAAGTTGATCTAGTTGAAGATGACCCTGCTCATTGCAGGGGAGTTGGACTAGATGACCTTTAAAGGTCCCTTCCAACACAAACGATTCTATGATTGCATGTTTTCTTTTTATCACATTGCTGGTAAAAAGTCTGTTCTGAAAGCCAGTTTGAGGGCTTGTACATGGAGTTTGCTAGAAATCTGTGCTTTTATGCTGCCCTTTATCTGACTCCAAGTACATTGTAGCACAGAGAAGATGGGTTCTGTTTGTCTGTGTCTCACCTGTACCTGGCTGCCATTGACCACACCATGCCATAGCAAGTCAAATGCGGGTACCTGGGTTTGGAGAGCATTCCTACTAAGACCTAGCTAGCATAATGTGAATCAGATTTTCTCATCCTGTGTATCTTCCATGTGGTATCAAAAAGGGGGCTACAATTTTTTCCGCTTCCCTTTAATCCTAGAAATCCAGTAGGAATAGGACCATTTATTTCTGGATGGCCAAACTTTCACCTTATATGATCATTATTTTGGGGCTTATCTTCCAGAAAGTTACAAATTTAGACTGTTG